GTTATGTTCTGGTGGTATGCCCTATGTAGGGGCTTATCCTGCCATGATGGTCCCTCCAGCACCTCTTCCTCTGAACTCCACTGTCTGAGACATTCTCTGAGCACGTCATCTATCGGGGCCTTGTCCTTGATGTACTCAAGGGGCTTGGATGTTTCATCCTGTACAGTGGTTCCCACACTCACCGATATTATCAGCCAATATGGGCTCCTGGAGACATATCGGCTATTGGCCGATATGTCGATATGTCTGTGATATTTACAGACAGATAAATGTCCTAATATGTGGCTCTGCATCAGTATTTATCTGTGGAATCATTTGTCTGTGTGTGTGTCCGTACTGTCACTGAACACACCCCCACAGTCACTTCATTCACGTGTTCTTGTTTGCACCTGCAGCCGTGCGCAACACTTATTTTCTTTTTCTGGAAAATCGGTTTGAGTCTTACGGTTACGGTGGTGTATTGCTCTCACTCCCCAAAAAATATTTTGGCAATATTTTGGCTCAGTATCACGTAATTACGTGAAAAGTTTCACGTTATAACGTGATAATTTCACGTTATAACGTGAAAATACCACATCATGAAATAACGTGATAATTTCATATCATGAAATAACGTGATAATTTCACGTTATAACGTGAAAAATATCACATTATAACGTGAAACTTTTCACGTAATTACGTGATACTGAGCCGAAATATTTTTTGGGGAGTGAGAGCAATACACCACCGTAAGGAGGAGCCTGTGTGAGCGGTGAGTGTTGGAAATACGTGGACTTTGAAGCTAGTTTTGGGTAGCGATTAGCTGCTGTAGCTCCCGCACATATACAGGCTGTTTTCTATTGGCCTATTGTAAAGTGACTATATTGGCCGTATATTTGTTACTGTACCTGCATCGATATGTAAATGAGCTGTGAACAGAGGTGTGAATGATCCACATTTATGCATATAATTAATTACCGCGGGCGCACGCATTTACGGCTAAAGGCTAATAGCGGTAGTTTCTTTACTACCTAGTAGTGATGGGTCGGTCGCAAATGAAGCGGCTCTTAGAGCCGGCTCTTTCTCTCACTTTTTTTCTCTTCGCACCGCTTGCAGACTCATGGTAGTTTGACAGCGGCAGCGGCTGAAAACAAAATTTCCAGAAATATGCGTGAGCATAGGATAGAAAAAAACGTGAATATTTGGCTGTAGTTCAGCATAAAATAAATAAACCAGGACTAATCTTGGCCTTGAGGGAGAGAGACGCTGAGTCCCGACACTCAGTCCTGGTTCAGTTCTGGTTTAGTCCTGCTTGCTACAAAACAATCTGAAGAGTTGCTTGGGAGCCGAAAGAGCCAGCTGCTTTTAGTGAGCCGAGCCAAAAGAGCCAGTTCTCTAAAAAGAGCAGGAATACCGATCACTAGTAACTAGAATGTGATGCAAAAATGCCATTAGGCTGACCTTCTGTCCGTAAATATGACGTAAAGAGGCAGAATAACAATAAATGTTGACTAAATAAACCCAATTTAAAATCCACCAAAGCCAAACCTAAGTTTTTTTTAAACAATTCAAGATTTACAATGAATTTTTACATCACTAAATATATCGGCAATTATATCAGCATAGCACAGTGCAGCCCCAGGACCTTTCAGGGGGCAAAAATACTATTTTAAAAGACTAACTGAAATGTGTTCTCCTCTGAATGTGCAGGCACTGTGGTTCATCATGTGATATCTGCTGTCACTATTTCACTTGAGTCCTCAGGCCCAGACTGTTCATCTCTATTGAAACAAGGGCTCACTGGAGCATAGATGGACTCATAACAAAATAATTTCTCCTTTATTGTTTGCTCTGATTGTCTCATCTTATCCTGTTTCATTATATTCAGTTTATTCAGTATTGTACTCTTACTCAGTAGTGTTACTCTCTCCACATTAGCCTACACTGATTGTTAAAACAAAATTGCACCGTGAGCGGCTAGCACTATGTGCACTCTAGTACCTCTTAGTCGTTAGTTTGTGCAAAACTCAGTGACCTCTTTAATCTGGCCCACCACAGATGAAGTGATACGACATCAGGAGAGACAGAGGCTGGGGGGGGGGGGGGGGGGTATCACACACACAGTGAGGGAAACCAAGTTAGAAAGGGGAGAAGGAGAAATGGAGAGAGAGAAACAAAAAAAAAGAGAGAGGTGGAAATGGTGAGAAAGAGGAAAACAGAGAGAGATGTTTAGCTGCTGGTCTCAGCTCAGACCCCTCTACTATGGCTGCTGGCGGGAATCAATTCTACCTTTATCAGTCCCTCTCCTCTGTGTCCAGGAATCCTGCTCTCACCGCAGAGCAGCCGCGGGGAAAACTGATGTGTTTTCCAATAATGAAATAGAACACAGCAAAAATAAGTTTAAAAAGGTGCCTAGCTGCTCTCCCCCTGTAGTTCTGCACTCTTTTAATCTAGTGTCTGCTGGCTAAACACACATCTAGCCCTGTCTTCATCAAGTAAGGAGTCATGCAGTCTTGGCTGGTTATAATTGTGAGGTTTGTTAGCAATTATTGGTAATATAAGACAAAAAATAATAATAATAATTGTAAACAGTGTGTATACACATATTTACAGATTGGAGCTTTTTGAAAACAAAAAACAAAAAACAAAAACTAACAGCTAAGTACTATAGTAAAAGCACCCTGTGTAAATGCAGTCACCTCAGGCGTTTCTGCATGGATCAGCACATCATCCAGAGAAGAGCCAGAGACGAGCTAGAGCAGAGTCAGAGTAGAGCCAGAGCAGAGCCAGAGCCAGAGCCAGAGCAGAGTCAGAGCAGAGGCAGAGGCAGAGTCAGAGGCAGAGCAGAGGCAGAGCAGAGGCAGAGCAGAGGCAGAGCAGAGTTAGAGCAGAGTTAGAGCAGAGACAAAACAAAGTCAGAGCAGATCAGAGAAGAGCCAGGGTCACAGCACAGCCAGAGCAGAGCCAGAGCAGAGTCAGAGCAGAGCCAGAGTCAGACCAGAGCAAAGCCAGAGCCAGAGCCAGAGCAGAGTCAGAGCAGAGCCAGAGTCAGACCAGAGCAAGAGCCAGAGCAGAGTCAGAGCAGAGCCAGAGCAGAGTTAGAGCAGAGTCAGAGCAAAGCCAGAGCCAGAGCAGGCTCAGAGCAGAGTCAGAGCAAAGCCAGAGCAGAGTCAGAGCAGAGCCAGAGCCAGAGTCAGACCAGAGCAAGAGCCAGAGCCAGAGCTGAGCCGCAGAGCCAGGATCAGAGCAGAGCCAGAGCAGAGCCAGAGCCAGAGCAGAGTCAGAGCAGAGTCAGAGCAAAGCCAGAGCCAGAGCAGAGTCAGAGCAGAGCCAGAGCAAGAGCCAGAGCCAGAGCTGAGCCGCAGAGTCAGAGCAGAGTCAGAGCAGAGCCAGAGCAGAGCCAAAGCAGAGTCAGAGCAGAGTCAGAGCAGAGTCAGAGCAGAGCCAGAGCAGAGTCAGAGCAGAGTCAGAGCAGAGCCAGAGCAGAGCCAAAGCAGAGTCAGAGCAGAGCCAGAGCAGAGTTAGAACAGAGTCAGAGCAGAGCCAGCAGCTACACAGCTTCTCATTGTGTGGCCTGAGCAGTGTGACTGCTCCCCCTTGTACCCCTGTAATGGGATTACATTAGCCAGGTTCCTCCAGACGCTCTCCTTTTCCTTCTCTCTCTCTCACATACTCACACACACACACACACACGCACACACACACACATTTGAGAATTGTCCACTAGGCTCCTGTTTGCGCCCTGTTTACTTGCCTGTGGTCCTGTGTAATGAAGCAGACTGATTCCCATTTTCACACCAACATTCTGGTGTTCCTCTTCTGTTAGAGTCAGAAAAACACAAAGAGTAAACTTGTGAACAATTGGGTTTTATTCAGGTTTTTACACCTGTAGCAAAATAACAAATTACAGCAGAACAAGACTATGTTTCCAAAAGTGCTAACGGAGGTATCACAGAACACTGAACATTTTTATATTTAAAAACCAGTAAGATATCAGATTGATTAAAAGGGTCAAGTTGGAATCTGGAGTTAGCCATCATAAAATTAAAGCATGGATCAATGACATGTCACAGCGCTGCAGCTCTGTGCTCCCCACATGTAATTCTAACCTTGAGGCAGCAGCCATGTCTCACGTCAAGCTTTAGCATTAGGCTCAATAATGCAGCTGCCCATGGCTGCTGTCTGCTGCCACCCACACCACAGCACAAAACCAAAGCATGCAGCTGAACTGTGCAGGTTTAGTCTCAAAGACAATGCCTTTATATGATAATGAGAGAAGTTTCTACTTATCTGGTTTCTCTATTGTTCAAATAGGGGGTATTACACACTTCGTAATTAAAATGCTATTTTCACAGAAAAAATGCATTAAAATGTAGCTTTTCAGTTTTGACTCTCTGAGCCCGCCCTTTGCTCTCCATGCTTAGTCACTCTCCCTTCAAAGCATTATCACATTGCAATCAGTGTGCATTCTGCTACTAAAACTACTGCACACCATATTAGGTTTGTGAAGTTGTACTGTATCTTGCTTTTATATATTTATGGACAATTTCTATGCTGGAATGTTGGTTAGGGTTAGGGTTATAGGGTTATTTTCTGTATTTTGGAACTATCATTCAGTGTAAACACATTTTTATGGTCATGCTTCTCTCTCATGTTTTACTCAATCTGTATGGATACTGTTGTGTGTTTGAAAGTTATATTTGGCATGCTTGTCATGTGTTACCAAGTCATCTTAGACAGCCTATAGACAGCAGGGAATCAGATGCATAGACACTGTTCCCAATGGACTAATTATATTTACAACCACACTCTCTTTCTTCTTATGTGATGTATTCGTCTTGAGGTTGGCATACTCAGATATTGGTGGGTGGTATGTCAGAACTTAGACACTTGAAACAAACTTACTATAAAATATGTTTATGTTGGCAATATCCTTTAAGACTGGACAGTGGATTGCAGTTTTTATAAAATGTTCTTGTATTGTTCATAATGTTGAATGAATGTTGTATCCTTTTGTGCAGGAAATCTGGGTCATGTGGATTACATCAGTGATTTTGAGTTCGACCTCTTCATTCGGCCTGACACCTGCAACCCACGCTTCAGAGTCTGGTTCAACTTCACTGTGGAGAATGTCCGAGAAACACAGGTCAGCTCAGTGACTTTTGTCTACAAACAACCTGCACTGTTGTTTTTTCATGACCCGTTGTTTAAAGTCCAGAAAAAAGGATGGCTGGTAAGCTCTAATGATTTTTTTTTTTTTATTGGCCCGAGTATATTCCCCAAATGATATAATTCCACAACCCTGTTTTACAACAAACTGGACAGGAAAGCCTCGTAATCAGATGTTGTGCAGTACCCCCTTGCACTAAATAAAATAATAATAATATGCATACCATAGGCAATTGTTTGGCCCAAACAAAATATTAGCTGAAGATTTTTATTGATCTATCTCTATCTACCAAGTCAAGTTATTTGACATCACACACATTTGGTACATTTTGTAAAAAGACAACAATTGCATGTCACATGGCACTTATGTGCTATAAAGTGCATACTCTATATGAAAAAAACAACAACTTTCAGACACAGGCAGCCAATGACAGAAGCACAATGTCTGATAGAACCCCGCACAGATAAGATGAAAGCCAAAGGCACAGTGAGAGGATGCCTGTGGAGCATACTATTGCTGCTGTTGCTGTAGTGTCCTGTACAGCCACTGCCTATCAGAGGCTATCGGAGCCTATCTGCCCATCTCCCTGCAGTGCTGTAGTCAGCACTAATCACATTTTATGGCTGTGAGATGAATGGGAGGCCTAGGCTTGAAGCCGGATCGATCCCAGGGCCAGATAGTCCACAAGCAGCAGGCAGCATTTCAGGCCAACAGGATATTTGCTGTTGTTGCAAAATAACACAAAATGTATGAGAAAAAGTGACTGCTGGGCAGAGAATGAGATAGACAACAAAAAAATATTAAAACACATGCACCATTTTTCTGATTAACACAGTTTATTGCTCCTCTGAACACTCTTCTGGAGGCTCCCTCTCACACCTGGTTTTCCTCCAGTACCCTTCTTCATCAGCTATGGAAGTGTAATGTACTCAGTGCATAGTCTTGTGGTTATATTCAAGGTGCCTGCAAGTGGCTCAATTAAGTTTGTGTCTGCAATCATCTGATTCCACATAAATCTTTAGTTAGCGTCCTAATGCTTGTAATATGTAGACCAAAAGTGCAGAGAAATTAAACAGTGCAGGGTAATAGTAAATAAAGGCTGTGTGTGTAGCTATGTAAGAGAGAATGTGCTATAGAGATATCTGCAGGTTCCAGGGGGGCCGGGCTGCTGGAGTGTTTCATCCAGCTAAGCCTTGCTAACTCTTAGTCTGAGCCAGGGGAATGGGGAACAGTAAAAGCCCGTGATATTGGAAGTGAGATGGCTATTTTGAAGGAATGTAAGCTGGTGAAACAGATTTGGTTGGCCTCAATCAGCTTAGCAGCTTTGTGGAAATTGGCTTCACAGTGGCACCGGTTATGATGGATGGCTAGTTGGATGAATGTCTCTTTAAATGTGTTTTATTATTTGCTGTGTTTTGGCTAATGGCTTGACTCAAAGAGCTGGTGAACATACTTGTATCTAATCTAACCTATCTAATGTTGTATTTGGTACATGATACAGAATAAACTGGAGAATCTATGCAGTATAGAAGTTTGATATCTGTTATTTTTCTATAAATTTCAAGGAATGGCAGCAGGGCAAAGTCATCCAAGGTAACAAAAACATTTTCACCTCTATTTTTTGTTGTTGTGACATCTTTGGGAGTAAAATAGACCAAAAAAACAACATATGAAATAAAATAGCTCTGTAAAAGTTGTTCACGGTTTGTGCAGTGAATTCTACATGTAAGTCCTACCCTGTGTATCTCCTTTCAGCGTGTGTCTGTTATGAGCAGAATCGGTGCATGAGTTGATATGACACCCCATTGGGTAAGTTGATATGCCATTCCATTCTGCTGAAGGGCTGTGCTTGATGTCAGGCTCCGTGAAGGGCACGGCTGTGAGCTATTATCATAGGAGCCTTCGGGGAGCCATTGGTGGAAGACAGGCAGTAAAACCTTGTGCAAGTGCCTTCAACTCCAGCCACTGCTGCAGGGCTGATTTGTGCACCTCTCCTGTCCAGGGATAGCACTGAGCACAGTGCTCACGCTGTATGATCAGCTCTGAAGAGGAGCCAGCCAGTGCTCTACATCCAAGCTCAGTCTCTGTCTCAAAGCTTCACACTGCAGACACGCATTGTGTAATTTGTTCAATAAACTGTATCAGAATGGTAGAACCTTTCCACTATGAACGTGGTTTTAATTGTCATTGATGGTGCAAAGTTATGTTTTACCTCACATGGCAGGTCCATGTGGACCACCTGTGTTCCAAGATACAGCAACACATTTTCTAAGTCAGAACACAAATAATGTGTGTTTTTATTAAGACACTGTACAGAATGTGGTGTGTAACATCAGCCAGGTCTGGTCTGGAAAAAAAACTAGTTGAAACTGGTTGAAAACTAAACTTTATGAGGCATGTTTCCACTATGAGGGTAAATAAAGTATATTGTGGTTATCTAGTGCCACAGTATTGATGGGTTTTAGAACAATGACAAATTGGGACTTTTACCATAGCAGTTAACAATTCACTTGTTTGAATGGTAAAAAGTCCTCAAGTCCTCATGTTCTTACCAGGAACATGTCATGTGATTAGTAAATAGTGAACTAAATTAGTACTATTTCTTTTTATCCTACATCTTGTAGGTGGTTATTATTAACTACACAAAATGTCTAAACAAGTGTCAAACCAATGATGAAGCTTGTGAAGACTTTGTACTTTCTTTGCACATTTTCTGTTCAGTTGAATACATTTATGACACAAAGAGAACAATATTATGATTCAAACATTCCTTGTCGGTAATATAACATAATGTGAGCTAATTGAGTTAAAAGGCCTTCAGACACGTTTAATGGTGTGACATTTCTAAATGTATAATTTACTTATCACACTGAAAGATACATATTAATATTGTGATGTCTCTTTTTGGGGATGTAGCGCTGAAGGATAAAGTGAAGCGGAGTCCAACAGAGCAGGCCAAAATGCTGTAATGGATGTGATCCACATCGATTTCTTTGTACAAAGAGACAGTCAGGGCTCAGCACAAGGTCCAGGGGCTGCACTTACCAGAAAAGCTTGCTTCATGCAGCCTCCTCTCCTCGTCTAAATACAGCACAATGACTGCTCTTCTGGGAAGTGGGCTACTGGTTGTCATGTTTAACATCAATGCCAGTCTCTATTATTGGCGCTTATCTGAGTTTGTGGCTCCATCAGCCATGGATTCTGTTCTATAATGGACATAACTTCATCATCCAGAGGGGTGGTACATTTTCTCCTGTAGAAGTACTGAGTTCTTACTTACTCAGATGTTTTATAATTGCACAGTTAGTTCATTGCACACCTTAAAAAGTATGAAAAAGTAAGATAAACTAGATTTGTGTAACTCTCAGTGAATCCCTATGATAAGATTTACTTGTGCTTGGTTGATTACTTAATTATGCTCAGTTCAGCCTTGAAGCCTACTGAGGCTACCCATTTAAATGTCCATCTGCATTTAACACTTCTGTATACTGACAAATGCTAGCAGATACAGAGCACTTGGAGTATATTTACTACTACTTGCCACAATAGATCATCAAAAAATCAGACTGGATTGTTATTATTAACCATCATAAAAAAATAACTGGCCTGATAAAGTGTGGTCTTCCTCTGCTTGGACCCTTGTGGGTTGCCGTGGCACCATGTTGTGTCCTTCACTGCTGAGAGGAGCAGGACAGGCAGGGCTTTGGAGCGCTGCTGTATGATGGCGCCTTAATCATTGGTGACGTAGCTTTGCCAGAAGTGTTCACGACAGACATCTGCTCTGTGCTGGGGGCCCGCAGACTGCCTGTGGAGAGCTACATGGTGTGTGCAGCTAGGCTAATCCACCTCTCTTATCTGGTCCATCCATACGTCACGACACACAGCAACATGCTCCAACATGTATGTAAATGTGTGTCCGACTGTGTCACAGTCTGCAGTTTGAGTGAAGTACTGCCTTTTATTCCTCTGTGGCTCTGCTTCATGCTGTAAGGTAGATAGGCAAGTGTCCCACGTGTGTAGACTGGCATTTCCTAAGAAACTAGTGTTCCCCACACTTAAAGACATGTCTGTGTAACTCTGCCAAAAGGATTATTGCACTTCAAACGCTTTGCATTGGACCGAAAAGTTTAAGGTTCATACTTTGAAATCAAGTCAGAAACTTCTGGAAATACTAAAGCAATATTGAAAAGATGCCCTGACATGAGTGTGAGGTTAGGGTATCACCAGTGACCTTTTCGCTGTTAAGGGGAAGTCATTGTCAGAACTGATGCTCCACAGATCACACTGTAATGACGTGGACAAAAGAATATGACAACAGCACTGAATGAATTTTCAAATTGTCCTCCTGATAGCAAAATGAGTTTTCCCTGGGTTATCTCTGCTGACGCAAGGTTCCTTATCAAAATTCATTGCCTTATTTTTAGCTTGATTCACTTAAAAAGGGAAGCTCAGACCCAAGGGCATGTTTTGAAATAAAGCAGAGAGACTTTTTATTAGCTATTTAGAACGTCTGTATTCAAATTGAACTGACTTTGAGTTGAGTGATTTCTAATCTTAAAGGTTCTGAAGGGTGGATATAAATGATATACCCAAACTAAGTCAAGTGTATACAAGAATACTTTTTTTTTTATTTTCTGTTGCAATTGAGCACATTACATTGACAGAAGTGAGCAACTCGAGCTTTGACTTCATCCTGTTGTCAGAAGTGCTTATGGGTGCCACTGTGGGGGATGAGTTATTCTACATACATTGATTGATTGAATGATTGATTGATGCATTTTTGTTTGTGCCAAGACATTTGATAGGACATCCTGACTGATCAATGATCAGTGGCCAATATATACTATAATCATTATGGTAAGCCTAAGAAAGAGAAAACAGACAGTGAACATGTGCAGTTATTTATTGTTTTGGTTTGGTTGGTTTGGTTTATTTCTGAAATCTATTGTTTTGCAGATGTAACCTGTGTTAGAGTG